GCCCCCCACCTGTCCACCTGTGCCCCCCTACCGGTCCCCCCGCCCACCTGGTGGCTGCGCCCATCCCTCTGTGCCTGGCCTGAGGTGAGGCTGAGGCCGCTGGGCTGTGAGGAGCCACCTCATGGGCTCACGGGGCTGGGCATGAAGCTTAGCGCTGGCTCTAATGGTGGTGTTTAGTTTGGGGTTTCTGGCTCGGTTTTGTAGCTGGGGTTGGAGCGGAGGTTCCGTTGCCATGGGGGTGATTCCTGTCCTGCCGTGTTCGCCGTGTTTTCAGTTCCGCTCCTGGCCGTGCTGCTCATGTGGCTCGCAGAGCGCTGACGAGCTTTCAGCAGGAGGCCTGGCCTCGTCGGCAGGGCTGGCGTGTCGGAAGCGGGTGTGCTTGGGAGGCTTGGTGGGTGCACACAGACGTTGTCATGACGAGATGCAGGTCTCCCGCAGCCCGAGGACCCAGCACCGCCGGTCTCCTCCCTGCACGCCTCAGGAGCTGGACGCTGGGACCCCACGGGGTGCCCCGAGCGGGAGGCGGTGCGTGACCTCTGCATGTCCGCCGCCTGTCACTCCGGGAGTGCCCGGGTTTCCAGTCTGTGGGCTGCTCTGGTCCCTGTTCAGGGTCGGGCCATTCCTCGGGGTGGCACAGACCCTGTGGCTTCCACCTGAGCACCAGTGTCCCCGGCGCTTCTGCACCGCGGTGGCTGCCAGCACGTAAAATAGGCCCCACGACTCGTTTGCTGCATCTGCTTCCACTGGGTTCTGGGAAAGGTGTGTGACCGCTTCTGTCCCTGTGTGGCGCGTCCTGGCCTGGGAGTATCCGTGCGGGACCCCAGGCAGGCTGCACACACCGTGCTCGTGGCGTCCAGGCCCGGGGCACACGGGAGCAATGAGGGCTTGGGTCTGGTGGACCTCGGCCCTGGGCTGCTCTGGACTTCGCTCTGCTGCCCGCTCCGTGCTGGCATCTGTCGGGACCTAACATGCCAGCTGGACTGGCCAGGCCGGAGGGCGGCCACCCCTGAGCTCCTGCTGGGTCACTGGGACCTGGCCCGGCACTGCCGTTGGCCCTGACGGTCAGGAACCTCCCTTGCATCTCTGTCCTGGGGTGGGGCAGGCCCCCGGGGAGGATCCTAGAGACTCGTTTAGGGGACAGTGGTTGGGGGGCGTCGGGTTTTCCTAGATGTTGGCCCTGTCGGGAAAGTCACCCTCAGGGCTTCTTCCAGAATGGGAGCTTGCCAGGAGGACATGCATTGCACTCCTCTTGCCAGGGGTGTGAAAACCCCATTGGGAACATCTCTGCCCCCCATAACTACTCTGCTGCTTCGCCAGCAGGTTTGGGGTGGACTTCCCACTGTGTTTCCCCAGCACCCCCACCCTGGCCCTGTCACTTGCTATAAGCAGTGGGCCGCCTCGCAGCTCCCGAGAACCCTGTGCTCAGTAGGGAGTGGGGGCGGTGGGGGCAGTGGAAATGGGCGCGGGAGGCCCACTGACCCTGCTTTCTGTCTTGTCTCGAAGGCTCAGCTGTCACAGGCCCTGGAGGAGCTGGGAGGCCAGAAGCAGAGAGCGGACATGGTGAGTCTCTTGGTGGTGGTCTTTGTGGCCACAAGGAGCTCAGGGCATGGGGTGCTTTAGACCCCGGGAGCGGAGGGAATCATGTCCCTGTCATGCAGGCGCAAGCCTGCGGGTCCCTGATGGTCACAGCGCTTCCCTTCATCAGAAACGCAGGTGGGGATGGGAAGTGCATGGGGCCTGGGAGCCGGGGCCTGGCCCCCCAGGGACTCTGACGTGGGGACCCCAGTGCCCCTTCTGCTCCACATCATGACCCGCCCGACATAGAGCTGATGTGAAAACTCTCGTGATCCCTGCTTGACGCCCACGGCCAGGTCGTCCTTTGGTTGTCCCCCCGCTCTGGGCCCATGGTGGCCCCGCCTCACAGGGTGTGTGGACCAAGATGTCTGCCCGTCAGGCTTGCAGCCCGCGTTGCCCTGCTGAGCATCAGGTGTGCTCCTTGGCCGTGTGGCCACGTGCCACCATCTCGGACCACGTCTCCCCCCTCCCCTGCCCCCGAGCGGGCAGCCTATAGGCCGAGAGGCTTCCTTACCACCGTTTGGGGTCAGACAGCTTTGCTTTTTATGCATCTTTGTCCCACACAAGGTGCAGGCCTTTCCTCCTGCTCTGGCCCGTGGTCTGGTCTCTATGGGGACCCAGCCACCAGGGTCACAGGAGGGCCACGGGGCACGTTTGCAGGTGTTGTGGGGCAGCTCTGCCCCAGGCCACATGCCAGCCAGTTGGGGTTGGGGCGGGCTCAGGGACTCACAGCACAAGTTGGGGTTCCTGGTGTGCAGTCCTCGCTTGTCAGCCCCTGACCTTGAGCGGGTCATCTGGCCTTCACCTGCAATGTAGGAGTGGCCCACAAGTTGGCATGCCACGTCCCTGGGTTTGTTTCATCCATTGACAGCCGTCCCCACAGCCTCAGACTGTCCAGCTGTGTCTTACTGCCGCTGTTCCTGTCGGCCGTGGTGGAGGTGGGGCTGGGGAGACCCGAAACAGGCCCACTCGTGAGGCAAGGGCCTGAGGATGGGCTGGGATGAGGCCCAGGTGCCAGCATTGGGGAGCCTGAGGCTAGCTGTGCTCAGAGCCCCTGACCGGCAGGGGTGAGGGAGGGTTGCAGGGGTATGTGGTGGGCATTGGCCAGACCGGCTGTGCCAAAGGTAGACACAGGTTAGGTAGAGCGTGAGTCCAGAGGTCAAGGATGGCAGGATGGCCTGGGCAGTGGGTGGGGGAGTCCCAGGTGGGATGGGAAGGTTGTGGAGGGCAAGCCAGGAGAGAAGCATGGGGGTCTGAGATGCCGTTGGCTGTTGGGTGTCTGGGCCAGGGGGTGTGAGCTCCCACGTCAAGGCCCTCCAACACCTGGCACGTGTCCGCCCTCCGGAGCTGGTGAACGTAGCCAAGAAGGTAGAGCCTGAGGTTCGAGCTGCGTCAGGCCGCTCCAGCACCCGGATATGTGGCCCGGGGAGGGCAGCCCCACCCCCAGGAGCTGGGAGGCAGCCCCGCAGCACGGTCCTGATGTCACATACGTGTTCTTCAATCTGTAAGTCAGCCCGCTGGTCTTTCCCCTGCGGGGGCCCCTGAGAGCACATCCGGTCCCTGAGTGCAACAGGCATTCGTTGTTGACTGAGGGGGAGCCACCGTGCCTCTGCGTAGAGTCTTTGCCCTCGTCTGGAGGAGAAAGGGGCTTGGGACCCAGGCAGGGCCTGACGGGGGTGCCTGCCTCCAGTGAGCCTGGGGTAGGGAGCTCTGTAAACCGTGCGGCCTAGCTCACGTGCGTGTGCGTGACTAACGGGACTGTGGGTGAAGAAACCTGGGGGGAGAGCCCGACGTGTGGGTCAACATGCATCATTCCCTCGGCTTTGACCTGAATGGACATGTGCCCGAGGGCCGTGTGTCCGTGCTGGGCACACACAGGCGGGAGGAATGAGGATGGAGTTGTGCCGAGCACAGGCCTGGTCCTCCTTCCCTGGCTCCTAGGGGTTTGGAAAGGACAGAAGCTCCCACGGTCGGGCCGCAGGGGCCACTGCTTCGCCTCATGGGGATGCCTGAGGGACATGGGGCTGGAGAGTGGCTTCCCCGCCTGTGTTTTCCCTTGTTTTCTGCCCATAAAGTTTCTTTGCATTGTGTAAAACTCCCTTGAGTCCTAACATACTGAAGCCCGGTTCCACCTCTAGACCAATTAGACTGGAACTCGTGGGGGTGGGGGGCCCACTTCTCCCCAGGCGATGCTGGCGCCCACCTCCGTGCAGGGGCCCTTCCCCAGGCGCTGCCGGGCCTTTGGGGAAGATGCTCCTTGGGGAGCTTTGGTGAAACGTCCCTGTGGCTCTAGCCCCGCAGAGCTGGGCAGGCGGGTGGGGACCCGGCTCGTCCCCCAGCTCATTCCCAGCTGTGCCCGGAGGTGCAGGTGCTTGGTGCACTCAAGTGGGATGCTGTGGGTGCCTTGCTTCCTTAGATCTGCGCTGTAGCTGCACCTCACGCAGGTTAATCTCTGCCTTCTGATTGTCACATCCTGAGCTTGTCTCCCGTTTGTGTCTCCTCTCTCTCCTCCCGACTTAGCAGCACCCGGCGGAATACAGCAGGTGCTCACTCAGAGGCCTGTGAGCCTCTGCTCTCCCTCCCTCCTCCCCGGGCCGTACCTCCTGCCTCCTGAGGAAATGAGGGCCAGGTGGGCCCCCAGCCGGTGAGGAGGCAGCTCCGGCCCTGCTGTAAACCCTAGTTGCTGTGGGAGCTTGAAGGTGGGGACGGTGGCCAGAGCTCCCTGTGACACGGAGACCGAGCCACCCTGGGTCTTGCTCTGTGGCCCTCACCCCGTTTCGGGGCCAGCGTGGCGATGGGTGTGATGGGGGCACCTCTGTCCAGGTGTTGGGGACGGCCTGGTTCCTGTGCCACCTCTCCCGGCCTGCTGTCTCTGGGCCCTAAGCTGATTCAGTATTTAGGAGAAGAGAGAAAAAAGAATTTAAACATCTGTAGTTAATTGCAGATGACAAGACAAAGACGGTTTGCCTTTCTGTTATTAATTAGCAGATGCATGCTAATTAGGAAGCAAGGCACAATTCAGGCTTTTCTCTTTAAATGCAATTAATATCACAAGGAAAAATGTCCTGGGCCATAGTTGTATCATTAACATCCCTCACCCTAATTAGATCCGGCCAGCAGTGGATGGAGAAACCAGTTTTTTGATTATAACTATAAAAATCCCTCTAATATTTTATGTACTCCGGGGAGCAAGAAGTGAAGATTTATTTTCTGATGAAAGGGGAGTGACACCCCTTACGACTCCAGGTAACGACGCAGTCTTCCTCCTTGAGTCCCGTGCCCCCTGGGCTCCTGTGGGCTTGCACTGCCAGCCTGCGGGCCCGTGGCCGGTCAGCCGGGAAGGGCTTGGCGGGAGACGTTCTGGCCGCAGGTGCTCCCGGGGTGTGCGTGCTGTGGCCGCATCCCAGCAGGACAGGGCCTCCACGTGGCCTCTCCCAGAGCGCCAGCCTCCCTGGCTGCGGCTCCGAGATGACCGGAGATGCTGGTGAGGCCGATTTTAAGCCCTGCGAGGGGCCCTGCACAGCGGCGTGCACCTGGCTGATGCCTCTGTCGCTGTAAAAGCAGCGCCGCGGGCCGGGAAGCGTCGGGAGGAGGCGTGTGAGCTCCTGTCGTTCAGTGCTGGCAGCCAGCATCCATACAGCCTGCTGCCCGAGAACCTGGCCTGATCGCAGCCCACCAGCGTTGCCAGCCGCCTTCCGGGAAGTTCTTACGAGAGCCTCCTGGTTCTGTGACCGATAGTGACGCGTTTCTCATCCCGGATCCATCCTGCCACGGGACCAAGCCCGGGTTGGAAGACCCCCCACCCCCCGCCTCAAGGGGAGAACTTCGTCTGTGGTGGGGGAGTCATGAAGGCTCATGGGGGACGCCATGCAGGGACCCACGGCTGGCGGCAGCCTGTTCCCCCGCAGGGTTCTGCGCCCCCAGGACGGTGTCTGACTCTGTTACCCACTGCTGGAGCCCACTGTGACCCAGTGAGGCGTCGGGGCCCCAGGCGGCAGGCGGGGGACAGGGTGCCCCACAGGCCGGGCCCCAGGAGCTGCGGCTGCACGTCTCAGGCTGACCTGGTTGGTCTGACCAGTCTGCGTGTGTCCCCGTGCCGGCCCCTCTGCCGCAGGCACTCACCCCCGGCGTCTCGTGGGGTCACTGCTTCTGCGGCTCTGTACCAGCATCTGGCCGCACACCTGGCTGTCCTGCTTTTCCTCGGGGAGCCAGTGCGGGAGACCGGCCTTCCCCGCAGGCGAGCGGTGTCCGGCACGGAGTGAGCACTCGGAGTGTGGTGGGGTTGATTTGGGGTGGGCATCTGCAGGCCGGGTTGGTTCTTGAGTGCCCCGAACACCCGACGGTGACAGGTTTATGAATGCGCACTCACCCGGCCTGACGGCGAGCCGGGCACTGTTCCAAGAGCTCTGCAGACGTCCACTCTCGGAGCCCTGCTAGGTGACCCTGTCGTCACCCACCTTACTCATCAGGAGGCAGAGGCCCGGGTCCCAGCGGGTCCCAGCTCCCGTGGCTTTGCTGCCAGCACACACTTCTGCCTGGGCCTTCAGGACCCCTGAGTACGTGGGACTGTCCCTTGTGTTCCTGACCGCCCTGACCCATGTGAGCACAGGCTGCGTGCTCACTGCCCCCACCTGGGAAGTGCCAGACGCCCGGAGTTGTGTGTGCCCCCCGGAGTGGCTCTGCTGAGTGCTGGCTCCTGGGGATGAGTGCCTGGGGCAGCTCCGTGGGAGCTGGGAAGCCGTTTTTAGGGATGGAGGGAGAAGGGCTCAATGAGGCGTATTTAGAAGTTAGCATCAAGCTGACCTGGGGTGCACAGGGCTGCCCCGAGAGCAGAGTCCCCGGCAAGTGCCTCAGGGCTGGAGGGCTATGGGTGCCTGAGGGACGTGGAGCTAGTTTCCAGCTTGACGGCCGCCCTGGGGCAGGGCTCACGAGGGCTTGGCGCCTGCTCTCCACAATGCACTGGCTTGTCTGTCCCCCGAGCCCCA